AAATTTTAATCCTAATCTTTAAATAATGAATAAATATACATATATAAAATGTTATTATTACCTAAAGTTATTTTTAATAAAGGCATTGATTGAACTGATACATTTTCGGTTTTTATGCATAGCTCTGTTGTTGAAATAGGCATTTCATGAAATACACCACAATCTTCATTCACTACTTTACTATAATCGACGTGATTGTCTAAAATATTTTATATTATATAATACAAAATATATTCTTTATCTTTATTAAATTTATATGTACATATATAAGATGCTACTAAAATAAATTTGATGAATACTTTCTTCTTTCTTTAATAAATAAAGCTTATTCTTTAACAATTTCTTGAAATGTTTTATCGTATCTCTATCTTTTTTATCTTATTATTTTGATTTTAGTAACATCTTGAATAGTTCATTTCAAATTTTACAAGATTTCATTACCAGAAACAAACGTTTGCTGCTTTGGCAGAAATGCATGCCACCATCTTCTATTCGAATTCGTAAATTGATTGTAAGACAAATCTTTGGAATAACAACATGAACATCCTTTGCAAGGATTTGTATATTTCATTAATGCATTGCACTTCCAAGTCAAGTTCGACTTGTAACCATTAAACACATAGGCTGCATATCTGTTTATATTAAAATACAGAAAACATAAGACAAAGGCACAAGATGTCTCACTCAAAGAAATTAAGAGATTTACTTGCGTAAGGAACCCCAATACCAATATTTGTCAACATGTGCATGTGTATCGCTCCAAGCTCCCCATTCTATGCCTCCAACAGCATAAATTGGTTTTATGGGATTTTCAGAATCATTCTTAAAATAAAAATTTCTATTTCAATGCAATTTGATTTACGTCAAATAAATGAAGTGCGATAAAAAAAAAGTACATACGATCAGTAATTTGATTTCAATAGCATCTATCGATTTGAGATTATTCTTAATAATTGCCATTGTTGCATCAATCATGTGGCGTACGTCAATTAAATCTTCATACCCTCGATAAAATATGCTCGCGATTGTATTTGTGTTTCCCAATGGCAAAACACCAATAGGACATTGTTTAGCTGAATGAAGATTGTGCTCATACTTCCTCATCAAGCCAGTTATAACATCTGACAAAGTACCATCTCCTCCTGCTACAATAATCGCATCGGTAGGTGTTTCTAAATTCGTTATCGTATTACGTGCATGGCTTCCTGATTGTGTATCAATGATAATTACAGAAATACCAGCCAAGTGTAATAGAGGCTCGCAATACTTCTGAAATAATTTCTTAGCCTTTCTAAAAAGAGAAACCAAAGTCAGCAAAGAATGAATATTTCATATTAATATTGAAGTTCTTACAATTACCTTTTTTTAGCAGCTGGATTTAAAATAACAGTCATATGGCGAGGTCTAATATTTGTAGAACAAGAAGCATCTCCGTATTGGATTACTTCTTCACAACACTGACGCATTAATTGCTCTGTACTAGATATAAAATACACTAATATAATAAAATCAATGATATGAAGTTTTAACATTATATTTAAACTTTATGTATATAAAAAAAAATTTATATTTATAGCTGTGAATGAATATATTCACAATATCATATAACATTACAATGAATAATTTCCATTTAATAATACAAGTTGACATACAAAAAGTTTACCTTTCTTGACATTCAGTGAATAACAAAGATAAAACAATATTTATGTCAACTTGTGTCGCTAAATGAAAAATTCTCAATGTGCTTGTAAATTTAAAGAAGAGTTTGAGGTTATGTTCCCCATGATTACTACTCACTCGTATGCTTGTTTACCGTATGATATTCCATACGAGAAGGCCGCGGCTCCTATCACAGATTTCTTCCAGTTATTACGTATCGTCTTCAGTAAAGTCAACACCTTAGCCATCGTCAATTAAAATCTCAAAACCATTTGGAGTTTAACCACTTTCTGTCACTCTCTGTTATTCGAATTCACGTGATTCGTCTTTATCTCTCTTATTTCGCAATTTATTCTAATTCTCTACAAATTCTTTGATTTTTGAATTTCACGTTATACGTTACAATTTATCAATTTCATGTTATTTTTATTCTATACAAAATGTAGAATAGAAAAATTACGTCGCTCTCGCCGCATGGCAAATATTTTTGAATTTACAGGTGAATCAACAGAACAACGTATAGAGACTTGGAATTTCTGTTTTTGTTTTCTACTAGGTTAAATAGTGCAATACTGATGTTTGTAAATACAAAATAATTCACATATTTTCATTGTTAATAAATAATTTAACCCTTTTAATTGCATATTCTTTGTTGCAACAATAATCTCGTAATCTCAAAAAGATTAAAATATTTATTAACGTTGAAAATATGTAAACCGATTTGCACTCAATTGCATCAAGTGCTGCACTAATTTTCCTAGTGGAAAACGCTATTAGGGAATTAATTCCGCCGGGAGCAATTCTGCAGCTAGAGATATTCCTTATTTCTCATTCTCTGCCACGAATGTTGCGGGGACGCTCGAGTTTTCCTTTCCAATACCAAGATGTCTAAAAGAGGTGAGTTTGTTTTCGAGCAATTAAAATCCGGGAAAATCAATGCCGGGACGATTCATCAATCCTGAGCGAAAACATGGGAAGATGAAAGCACGTCTCGTGCATGTGACAGAACGAAACGTTACTTCGTTAACGATGTATTCACACAAATAAAAGAATGGCTCTTCTAAAGTCGTTGTCTTAATATATTATTTGTTGTTTCTTAAGGACGTGGTGGATCGGCTGGAGCCAAGTTCAGGATATCCTTGGGTCTACCAGTCGGTGCGGTTATCAATTGCGCTGATAACACTGGTGAGTCTGAGAAATACCTTTTGCATGATACCTAACCTCGAAGGGCCTCGACTGCACGCCTCGCGAGCAAGAAGAGCACATGGTTGACCGTCATTTGCGATTATCAAGTATTTTTACGACTATTTTGTGTTTCCCAATTTGTTGATTAATTTTGATTACTGTAGCTTTATTGCACACCGAACTGTCAAAAAAATAAGAATTTAGCAAAAAAAAAACAAGAATATTAATAAAAAATGTAACTCATAATTCATGGCTACGTTTAACAGAGAAAATTGATTAGCGCTCAGTGCCGTTTCAATATGATTGATTCCTGCATACTTATAATTAGAAGTAACAAATAATTAAAGACAAGAACCAATCATATTAAAGAATTACTAAACACTGATCAGTTTTTTTCTGCTGAACAGTTTCTGCAACCAGTATTATTTTTTGTAAGCATCAATGAAAAATATTGTAATTGTAAAGTTGTTTTTTATCTAGTGTTATTTTTATAATAGTTGTTTTCTCTTGAACATTTTTTAACACTATAACAGAGCAAATATTTACAATATATAATAATTATATATGGATCAAGAGAAAGAATTAATTATGTAGATATTGAGTCATGTAAATAAGTTATTAAAATTGTTTGCAGTATATGATACATGTTTTGTATACATAATATATCATAATCTAATTTCTGTTTTCATCAATGTAGATTAACTTTAATTTAACTCTTGTTTCAATTTAATATAGTAGAGAGCGCCTTTAAGATCAGTCAAAATTGGAATTTTCGAATAATATTCTTGATTATATATACTCACGATTGTCCGAATATTTCGGCTCACGATTAGCATCTTAGATTGATTATGTTTTAACGTCCAAACGTTTCGGTGCACAATCATATTTGAGACTAATTCATGAACCAAGAATATTATATTATTCGAAACTTCCACCTTTGATTCTAAAGACGCTCTTTACTATATTATGTTATTACATTAACTTGATTGGTTTCTTCTATCTTTTTCTAATTCTAAGAATTAAAAAAAGATGATAATTAAATTGAATCAACATTAGAATTAATGTATGTTGGTGGAAGTGGATATTAGTCATAATTTTTAACTTCAGATATATTCATTTATTAATTTTTATTCCGCTGATGATACATTCCTCTGTAACAATGCAAACAACAACTCTGTAACAAAACAAACTATTGTTTTTAGGTGCCAAGAATCTGTATGTCATTGCAGTGCAAGGAATTAAGGGCCGGTTGAACCGTCTGCCAGCAGCGGGATCCGGCGATATGATTGTTGCCACCGTGAAGAAGGGAAAGCCTGAACTTAGGAAAAAGGGTAAATTAATTAAGTCTGCTGTGTACGAAGCATGTTTTCCTGTTGGATTGCTTGTATTTTGGAAAATTACTAAAATTTCTGTGTTCTGGGTCTGTTCAGATACCCAGATGTCATGTTATCTTTGTTTAACATTCGATGAATAACAAGACTAAAATGACACCTGGATGACATTCGAGTAAGAATCTGAACACAGCCCTGTGTGACACTATTTTAGCAATTTACTAAGACGCAAGTAATTCAATAGGAAAACAAGCATGTAGTAGATTTTACTCTCTTGTTATCCGAAAGAATGTCTTCCATTCTTTTTTCTGTAGAAACATTGTTTTTTTTTGAGGAATTTTGAATAAACAAGTGTGTATCGTTGCAGTGATGCCCGCGGTGGTTATACGGCAACGGAAACCATTTCGAAGGAAGGATGGGACGTTTATATATTTCGAGGACAATGCCGGTGTGATTGTTAACAACAAGGGTGAAATGAAAGGATCAGCTATTACGGGACCTGTTGCGAAGGAATGCGCAGATTTGTGGCCAAGGATTGCATCTAATGCCAGCAGTATCGCGTAATTCACATCCTGTATAAATTACTGTCCTTTACAATAAATCCGAAAATAAGTAGTACTTTTTTGAATTCATTGTTTGTTGTGAACGAATAATTGTGTTCAAAATTTGTAACAAAATCTCTATTGAAAAGAAAACCTTGTTTTGAAATTTTAAGATAAATTAGGATTCCTTCACCTTATTGTTTTTACTTCATTTCGAAGTTCATAATTGATTACCTGGGCCCCTATTCTTGAAAAGAAACTTATATGAAAGTTTAGGGAAATACTACGGTATACGTTACGTATACTATAATATTTTCCTAGAATTTTGTATATGTTTCTTTTCAAGAATAGAAGCCCTGCATTTTGAAACGAGATGAAAATTATAAAAATGAGAGAATTTATTAAAATTTTTATAATTTCATTTAACATCTAGTAAATTTGCTCACTAATTTTCATCTCTTTACAAGATACAACAGAATCGATATCGCAATGTCAATTGTATTAGTTGGCTCTTTACTGACAATAGATTTGTTCGTGTATTACATATTTGTTTTTTATGTAACAAACTTTTCAAATCTGTTGATTGGCTGTAGGATAAAGAATTTCTCAAATCTCTGTCCTGCAATCAATTAACACGATTGAAAAATTTGACAAATGTGTAATATCAGTCTATAGATTTGTTCGCGTCGCATGCTCCAACATGCTCCAATATGCTCCTATCATAGCTCCTATTCACTCCAATGCGCTCATTAGAGTGAGTAGGAACTATGGCAGGAGCATGTTGGAACATATTGAAGCATGTGACGCAAACAAAACTTATAGCTTGTGTTCTTTGGATATATCCACAACTTGCATAGACATACGCATACAGAAATCTTATCTAATCACATTTTACGTATGACTTTATAAGAGAAATGCGATTGGATAATTTTCTGTATGCATACGTGTATGCAGCTATGCAAATTTGTGTGGATATACCCTTTGGCTGGGAATTGGCGTACGAACTTCGCTAAAGTCACTAGATTAACAAAGTACCGCGATGAGAAAATTCACTGAATTAGCATTTAGAATCAAAATGGTGTCGAAATGCTATTTTAACTGGATTCTGTTAAAAGATCGGAAATCTATACAGGGGTCTAGAAGAAGAACCTGATTCTGTTATTATCGAAAATCGTTATATAATTTTTGAAATTGCTACAGTCCAACCAAGAGACTGTTACTGGATCCTCGGATCCGTTTCGTCAGTTTCATTTTGATTCTTTATAAAGTGAGAAAAACCATATAGGGGATTAACAAGAAAAAGAAAAGAAAAGGTGAGTATCCCGATGATGGGACTCGTCTATGTACATTTACACGGTCACCCTTGATCGGGTTTAATCATCCGTAGTTAAAAACTAACCAATCACAGTCATTCCATTTTTCAGAGGAATAGCTATTGGTCAGTTTTATAATTACAAATGTATTAAACTATAAACGTCTGTTTTTTTTTCTTTTGTTTGAGTTCGTCGAGATGTTCGAATGTTTTCCACTCAAATCAACATTTCAACCTTTTCTTATACAATGGGATTTTTGTTATCTCATCTTTTTCTCTTTTTTTTTTCATTTTGAGAGGCCGATTCTGTGACTTTTAACGACAGTTGTTAATGTTACGTAGCTTTTTTATTCTACATAATATCTGCGCAACAACATCAATGATTGTTAAGAGTTACAGAATCAGCCCCTAAGCCATAATGTGCTTAAAGATTATATTGTAAAATAGATTTTTATTTGCATTCTAGAGAATGTTCAATGTTTTCTCGATAAAACTGTCATATTAAATTTGCTACGATATTATACCAATTGTGCCCATCTTTGAGAATTGTTGGAGAATTGAATGTCTTCGCGAGAAAGGAGGAGGATAGGGTCAATTTTTTTTTTTTTTTTAATTAAATTACTCTTGTTTTGCATTCAAACTTGGAAACCTATGGAATAGTGCTTCGCGTGGAAAGTTGTAAATCTATGAACGATTCTACACGAATTAATTTTCACACAGCAAGAGCAGGGTATCAATCATGAAACTTTTTCTGGGAACGAAAAGTGAAAAGTGAAAAATTTCTCCATTAACTTTAATGATTAAAATGTTCACTTTTCATTTTCCATCTTAGAGATAAAGTTTCATGATTGATAATTAGTACTCAGAGCAGGATCTTTTTAATATTAGGTATAGTAAAAAGAAATCCATTATTTTTCCATTCAATTTCATGCAAAAATAATTTCTTTTTACTACACCTAATATATGGATTTTTAGTACTTACAATGAATACGTAATAAAATTTACCTCACATATACATTATAATTTTGCATATTCTTTGATCTTTTTCAATATATTAAGTTATCCATTTAAAAAGAGAGGATTTGCATAGATGTATCTGTTTCAGATAGAAAATCACTTCTTGCTTTTTAAATTTGTTCGAATGTATGCAATTATTGAAATATACTTTATATTTTAATTCATTTATTGGTAATCAAAAGTCTTGTTTGTTGTATGAATTAATCTATTTTTCAAATAACTCATAGATATATGTTTCTGATGCAATTGCAGATTGTGCCTATTTAAAGATATGGTAATTGCTGGCAGTTTGAATAATCAAAGCAATACGTTTAAAGCCTTGAAAATAAAATGGATTCAGAAAGTAAAATACATAACACCAATAATGATTCTGAGGTGAAACTTCCTGATATCAAAGATTCTAAAGAATCTAGAAAATCTCAGTAGATTGTTTAAAGAAGCCAAATCAAAATAAAGTTAAAAGAAGTATCTCAAGAAGTGAAGTACTATTAATAAACATCAATAGAAAAATCTAATTGTAGCATAGATGAAAGTTCAAGTAAACAACAGAAATTAAATGAAAATGGGAACAATACAAGTGTTAGAAAAGTGAATGATGATACACTTTCAAAGAAATGAATTAAAAGTAGAACAGCAAAATTATTACAAGGAACAAAATACATCAAGAGATACTGAGGACATTTCTTGGAATTCTTTGTTTAATGATGTAACAAGTGAAATTCCTATCCTTGATGTGTTTGAAGGTAATTTTCCTAGGAATAAAATTTAGATTACAAAAATATAACTATATTGGTCTAGAACGCGTTTTTATCTCTAAAATTTTATAGTATGTGTAATTATACTTAGTATATTACCGAGCTAACATCGTTGTAAGCGCGTTCTGAATATGGGTCTTTATTTATAATTTTGTGATATTTATTCGAGTTTAATTCTTGTTAAATAATATTAGAGATAACAATAAATAAATGTATTAATAATTATTTGTTATATTATTATGATATTAATATATAATTATATGTAAATTATGCACATAAAAATAATTCTAATTTTAGGAAATATTGCATCTGCCAATATTGAAAATGATTCAACTCAAAAAGAACCATCAAATAGAAGTTCAAAGATTAGCAGATCAGAAATGTTTAATCTTGAATTTGATCGATACAAAACGAGAGAGGTTTTTTATTTTTTTTTATATTTTATATTACTTATTTGATAAAATGTTTGATTACGAATTGTGCGTTTATCTTATGCCTCCAGCACACCAGCGCGATGTTCGTCGCATGCGATACGCAATATCCAATGAGTGTACAGGCCGCAGCACAGACTTTTGCATAACGCATAGTGCATAAGCGAATCAACTAATCAGAATCTTTCCTTTCCTCCCATTCCATGAAAAAGAAGAATTTTGGTTGATTGATTTTCTTATACACTACGCATTATGCGTTATGCAAGAACCTGTGCGGTCTTATAATTTTACTGATATTTTCATTTTAAAGGTATACTCATTGGATATCGCGTGTCGATTAATATCTCACTGGTGTGTCAGAGCCATAACAATACTTGCATCGCAGTAGCACTGTGAGTGGGAACGAAACGGAGTGTGATCATGTTTGTGTACCACATTTTTCAGTAAAAGTCTGAGGTGAGCTTTGATATCGTAATCCTGTGTGATCCTTGAATATCCTTGATCCTGGAATTATATTGAAATTATGTTTGGGAAAATTTCTAGACAATCTGAAATTTTAGGACCGACTTGAAATTTATCATTTTTTTATTCTAAAAAAAAAATCGAATCATAACAAAAGAAAAAAATAATAAAAAAAAATTGTGTTTGAAAATAAACTCTCTTAAAGATGCAATAATACAGTAAAAAAATCGTTTGACGAAACATTCATTTAATATTACACTTATAAAGGATTGTTAGCAATTTAATTTATTCATCATATAGAGTCCTAACTTGAATATAAAACTATAATATTGTGCAAATTGATGAAAATTAATTAAATAACGAAAATTAATTGATTGGATAAATCTTGGAAAAACCAGGGTTTTTACCTAGAATGTTCTAGAATTATTCTTTCTTTTTTGGTAAGGTGGGGGAAACGTCTACTTTCGGCCTCTCGGCCCTTGGGAACGGAGAGTTATGTGGGATTGCACACACTAAAATCCCCGCGGGTGTCCTTCCTAGACCTTTCATTGGACATGCGTGCAGTAGAGTTTCTCTAGGCTCGTGTTCAGATTCCCATTCAGGTATTCTCTGAGTATCATGTCATCTTTGTTTAATGTTTGATAAATAAAACAAGGATAAAGTGATACCTGGATGGCAGGTGGGAATCTGAACATAGCCTAGAGACTAGAGGATTGCGTCGCATACTCCACATGCTCCTGCTATAGTTCCTACTCACTCTAATGAGTATATTGGAATGAGTAGGAGCTATGATGGAGCATGTTGGAGCATGCGAACAAACCTTAAGTTGATTCCGTATCTTCAAACAAGGTGAAAATTACAAAAAAAGGCAAATTTATTAGATGTTGACTAATGAAATTATTAGTATTCTAGTAAATTCGCTCACTTTTATAATTTTCGCCTCGTTTCAAGATACAGAATCGATCCTCTAGCCTGCAGCATCCTTCCGGGACGCTCTCAGGCCCGTCGACCACGACCGATTCCTCAAGTCATCAACTGGCGATTCTCATTGTACGTAGAATCGCAAGCGTCGATTATTTGTCGAGTTCAATGAAATAAATTAATTTTGTGTATGATACCTAATTTATTATAATATAGTATAATTAAGAAATAGAAATGTGTTGTGTTATGATATTTCGTTTATTATTAATATTTCTGATTAAGGTAAGTTGAAGAATGCCTTCATAAAAATTTATTTGAATCTTTTGAAATGTTATATGAATTGTGGATATAGATTTGAAATATCAATTCAGTATTATTAAATCAAGATAACTTGCAAGATAAATAGCAATGTTATTACCAAGGCTGGGTTTTATTATTCTGCACTGCAAGTACAGAGAAATTTTATAATTTATGTTGTGTTAATATGAATAATGATTTTTGACAGGGTATATATATATA